ATTAAAACTTTCTAATAAATACATATTTAGATACCTTAAAATAAAGCATAAAACAACATTCTTTTGACAAATTGCAGAAGAAATTTTCTTAATTTTTCAATTCCTTATTATTTATCCTTAGAGAAAAAATATATATAGATATAGAGAATCATAAAATAGACTGAAATAAATTGAAAATCTTAATTTATGTATAAGAAAATAACTTGAACATACTAAAAAAAGCGATCAGCTCCTCTTAACTGCTCTAAAAACTAAAACAAATACTGCTTAAAATGTTTTAAAAAGACTAACGACCTAACTGAAACAGTTTTCTTAAAAAAGAAACATTGTACTAAAAAAAATATTTTACCAGTCAATTTAGTTCTAACTTATTCTAAAAAATAAATTATAAATACCTATTTAGATACCTTAAAATGAAGCATAACACAACACCCTTTTGACGAATTCCAGAAGAAATTTTTTTTATTTTTCTATTCTCAACTATTTTTGATAAGAGAAAATACATATAGATATACATACATATATATATATATATATATATATATATATATATATATATATATATATATATATATATATATATATATATATATATATATATATATATATATATATATATATATATATATATGTATATATATATATATATATATATATATATATATATATATATATACATAACAAACTAACAAATATTTAAATTTTTATTTTAAAAAATAATCAACATCAGCTCCAATTTGCTAGCTGATTATACTCAAAAGACCGCGTGGAATATAAATGCGCTTAGAAAAGTCTTAAAAACTAAGAAACAGTGTTTTTACATAATGCAGAACCGTAATTAACAAAACGAACAATAGGCGTAACAATGCGTAGCTATGCGCAATAATATTCATTACCGTATTAATATTTAGATAACATCCTTATATATATGTAATGCATATATTATCTATAGGCCTTTAAAAATAACTTTCTTTGTTTTCTAGAAAATTGAGAGTTTAAAAAAAATCTGAGTTAGCAAAAATATTTGAACCCAGGCGAAGCACCACCCAGCAAACATGTCCAATTAGGGCATATATGGGTTTGCCCAAGTGGACCCGATGTGGGCTTTATATATGGGTTCAAAATTATCCCATGTGAGCAACCCCTTGAATACAAAATTTTGTATGTAAGGGCTAGCCGACATTGGCCCGTTTTGGGGCCATATATGCATTTAAAAAAGTTAAAATTTTGTATTCATAGGCTAGCGCACAAGAGGTCCACTTAGGGCCCATATATGAAGTTAAAAAAGGGTCAAGTTTCGTTTTATTTTCTAAATTTTCTTTTTGTTTTCTAAATGCCATCTGTTCGTACGCGCAATGGTATGAGGTATTTTGCAAGGCAATTAGCTGGAGGAGTATAAATCACAATACCAGACTTACTTTATGAAAACCATTAACGTTTCTCAAATGTAATAACGTCTCAAAACTTTTCTCAAATTTTAAACTAAACTTAAATTAACTTTTTTTCAAAAAATCTTCTTTTTATTTAAAGTCAAATCATTTTAAAGACTCCGTGATAGAGCGTAACAAAACTTTGAATTAAAAATTTAATATAATAATAAAAATTTAACATAATAATAAAAAATTAAAATCAAAAGTTTTATATTATATTTGAAATTTTTTTTTTAATGTACAAAAAGTTTTAGAAAGTGTATAGACTTTTTGAGTTGTTATAAACCCACAAGCAAAAACGTAAGTATAATGACAATTCTTAAAGAAGTCTATGTATTAGTTAAGTCTTGTTTAAGCTTAATCTATAAATAGTTTATATACAACGACAATGAAAGTTGAGAAAGAGCTCATTTTAAGTTAATTCCAATCACAACTTTGTCGGGGTACATTACTTAGGTAACCTAACTAACAGTATGTAATGCACTCTCTAACATTGTGTGCAATCCTATCCGCTTACTCCATGCTATCTTTCTAACTCGACTACTTCTATCTTCGTTTTTCCCAAACTCACCTTACTCTCAACCGTAGAGCGGGTATGATGCTCCTCTCTCTCTCTCTCTCTCTCTCTCTTTCTTTATATATATATATATATATATATATATATATATATATATATATATATATATATATATATATATATATATATATATATATATATATATATATATATATATATATATATATAATGCATACATTATCAAATGCATTTGAATTTAAAAAAACATTTGCAAGAAACTAATATAAATCGCGCTATAGAAATGGATAAAATTTTTTAGCTAAAGAAAGTGAATTAGATCACTGTAAAAGAATTTATAATATACGTATTAAAGATATGAAAATAATTCAGAAATATGAAATAGAATTGCAAAAATTTTTAGAGTTGTTATTTAAATGTTTCCCGAAACACGTATTTTTTACCGACACGAATTATCATAATAATAAAGATATTATTGAACATTGTCTTGATGTTTTACAAACCATGTATTATTATTTTACATGTGTGGATAAACTGTTTAAAAAAATCAAATATATAAACAGTTTAAAATTGCAAAAAAAAAATTAAAGTAAAGTAACGTGTATAATAAGTTATTTATTTATAATATAATTTTTGAGTTCTTGATGGCTTGCAAAATGACTTGTTCTGACAGCTTTGTTGAACGATTGCGTTGGTTTTTTCAAAGCATTTTTTGTTTGGTTCGCTATACGAAGCAATCTTTTTCTCAATACAAAAACCGCTATTTCTAATTGTGCAAAGTACTTTTTTTGTAAACGGCCATTTTAATGTGTTATCCATTGAAGATTGCATCAGTTGAAAATAAATAGCCATGACATTTTCTTTATCGTAGTAACCGTAAATTTGTAATCGATATAAATAACCTTCAGCAGAATAAGTAGGTTGAGTATAGAAGGGATCGTTAGATAATAACCTTAAACCCATTTGATCCAACTCTAAAAATATTTTTCGTGCATGACAGGATTTTTAAACATTTTGTCATTTAATTTGCTAAAAATTTCTTCAATTTCTTTTTTCATTTTGATGTTTTCTTGATTGATGTTTTCAATTTCTTTTTCTTGTAATTCTTTATCCACTTTGGCTTTAACCATAAGTTTCTCCTTTTCCGCATCCATATTGTCTATACGTTGTATGAGACTGTTTATTTGAGTATTATTCTTTTCCAAACTGTTTAAAATGGCGTTTGTAGACATGTTTAAAAAAGCTAAACTTTTTTTTTGGTCCATTAAACATTCTCTTTGTTTGTTCATGATGCTTTTCTTTGCTTCTTCAAAGCGATTCCAACATTCATTAAGGTGCTCATCAAAACAATTTTTTAGGTAACAGTTTTTGACAAATCATACACAACTTTGTTTTGTTTACTTCTGGTTTTACTTGTTCTACCTCAAAAAGAAATTCGCATTCGTGATCCCAAATGTTTTCTATATTTATTTTTTTACCGCATCCAAAACAGTCATAAGTTTGAACCGTACAACATTTTTGTTGATGTTCAAGAAACTCATCAATATTAATGGGTAGTTTGCAATAATAGCAATATTCTTTAATTTTTGCTTCTGCCATTTTTTATTAATTGCTAAAAGAGTATTAATACATATTTAATATAATAAAACACATTTAATATTAAATATATATATATAATTTTCAAATTATGTTTTATTTATTTAAATTATGTAAATAAAGTTTTGAATTAAAAAAAGTCAATATTGTCTATTTTCATATCTTCTACATCATCATCATCATCATCATCATCATCATCATCATCATCATCATCATCATCATCATCATCATCATCATCATCATCATCATCATCATCATCATCATCATTATCATCATCATCATCATCATCATCATCATCATCATTATCATCATCATTTTCTTAATTGTCATCGTCATTATTTTCATAATATTTTTCATTTGTTTCATAATCAACGTCCATTTCATAATTATTCTCGTCATATTCAGCTTTTTCATCGGTTATATCAACTTTTTTTAAATTAAAGACGGAATTGTCATCAACAAGCATGATTTCGTATGAAACGATAAATTTAACATTTTGTTCAGATGGTTTGCCATATTTGTTGATGGCATCGTTAACATCTTTTATAATTTTTTCTTTTAATTAATAAATCTAAAAAACTTTCATTTTTTTTTAATTAATAAATCTAAAAAAAAATTACAAGTTAAAACAATATTCATAAAAAAAATTAATTAATCTCCATGGGTTCCTCCACACGGTTTTTTATCAATACATTTATTTCAGTAAGAGTGTTTATTCAATTTGAATTAATAAAAAGTGTTTTTGTTTTTTCGTCATTCAACCATCTTTCTAATGTTCGTAATATAAGTTGCGGATTGTATTTTTCTTCGGGATTTACTTGAAAATATAAAGTTAATACGCGGTTTATTTTATCATAACTATTATTGTAGTCATTATCAATAGCTTGAATGACGTATGTATTCATGTTTAAATAAACAGCAAATTGCATCCAATAAGCTTCAAGATACTTTGCTAACATATTTCTTAATTCATTTTCCATGGTTTTAATTTATAAAATATAATCTGTAAAAAAAAATCTTTTTTTTAATAAATATGATTTACTTTAAAAAAAATAAAAAAATATACACCAAGATCAAAAGCTACTGTAGATTTTGTACGTACTACAAGAAACTCACAACATACGCAAACAAAAAATAAAGGGTTACCAAGCAATTGCAAAAATATATTAATATGGTTACGAAAAACTAAAAAAAATATAAAGATAACAAATCTAATCGTAAATTGGGACGCGTTGGTAAAAAAATAAAACGATGGAAAATATCAAACGAAGCTTACGTTGATCGAAAACACGAAAGAAATGCAGCGTTAAAAAAAAAAAAAAGAAATAAACAAAAAATAAATTTATTTAAATATGTTATATATTTTTTTATTTACAATTATTGTATAAGTTAAAAGATAAATCGTCTTTTAATTTTTGCAAAATAAAATTGGTTTTTTATTGTCGATTTCTTTTTAATTTATATTTGCTTTTTTTCTAAAAAAAAAATTTAAAAAAATATTATTTTTAATGTTTACAAAAAAAAAGTTTTTTATGTATAGAAATTTTTACCTTTTTTTTATCCACCTGAAAATGCACTAATTTTTTTTAGCTCTTCGGCTCTTTCTATCTGTAAAGTTGGTTTTTGTGTTTTTTCATCAAGTTTTTTCATGAATTCTTCGACGGTCAACTCTATTTCTTGAAACTCTAATTCTTGGTCATCGTCTTTAACAATAGTCTCAATTACTTTAACTGCCATTTTTCGTATAAGTTTTGTTATTGCCATTTGATTTCATATTTGAAAAAATGCTGTTTTTATGTCAAATAGTTAATCCCAACAGATTAAGTAAAATAAAAGAATTTTGTTACAAACAAGTTATATTTTGAAACTTTTAATCTTGCTTTTTACATAGGGATTAAGTAGGGAATTTTTTAATTGAAAAACGTGCGTAAACAACTTTTAAAAAACTCTGCGTAGAAAAAAATCTCTGCGTAAAGTGTTAAAATGTTAATTTAAATGAATTCAAAACACGCTTAAACAACACGTCGACGTAGCTTAGCGCATCGTATCATTTCAGCGCTAAGTTTAGGGCTTTAACATTATATGTATAAACACATTGAGTTTCGGTGAATTCGCTGTTACTTGATGACGTCTGTCTAGTTAGCTTAGTTAGTTATATGTTACCCACATTGAGTTTTGGTGAATTTGCTGATACTTGATGACGTCTGTCTAGTTAGCTTAGTTAGTTATATTTTACCCACATTGAGTTTCGGTGAATTCGCTGATACTTGGCGACGTCTGTCTAGTTAGCTTCGTTAGTTATATGTTAACCACATTGAGTTTCGGTGAATTTGCTGATACTTGATGATTGTGTCACACTGAGACTGGTACTCTCGGTGAGTCCTGAGCGTGTATAAACGAGCGTGTATGTACGACTGGGTGAGCAGGCATAAGTAAGGCATAAGACAAAAAAAAATAGACTAAGTAAGTAAGGCTAAGTAAGTAAGTAAGTAGGATGAGAAACAACCGGTTGTAAAAAAAACACGGAGTTAAAAATAACAAGTAGGCCTACAAGAAAAAAACAAGTTAGGTAAGGCAGGATAAGTAAGGACAGTGTCGGGTGACACAAAAATTTTTTATATAAAAAAAAACATAAGTTTTTTTTTTTATCAATATAAGTTTTTTTTAAAAAAATATAAGTTTTTTTTTACAAGTCAAACAAAAATGAGAAGAATTTATAAACGTAAAAATCGTTTAAAAAGATATCATTTTATATAAAAAAAAAATTAAACAACATAGTCGATTAAACAACATGATGCATAGAGGTGGAAATGTTTTTAGAAGTTTAAGAAGATAATCATAATAAAAAAAATGTTGAAGTGTAATAGAGAGCATAAAAGTTATCATAAAAAAATATATTGTAGCACATGTTTTGTAAACACATTTTATACTTTGATAGAGGAAGATTTGGATTTTTATCAATTTTTATTAAACGAAATGGGTTATAAAGTTTTAAATAATTTAAGAACAGACGTATCTGATTGCGGTGAATATATTTTAACGTTTAAATATCATAATGAATATTTGTGTCAAATGATCACTGGAAAAAAAGAAATGGGACATGCAAAAACTTCTACTTTTTTGGGTGGCTTTATTATAGATTATAACGTTATTTCTAAATTGTATACTATAAGTCATGTAAATAAAGGTGATTTAAATGTAGGTTTTGAATTACCAATAATAAATTGTTAAAAAAAATTTAATAGTGTTTTTTTATTAACTTTTTTTTACAAAATAAATATATAAGTAGAAAAAATATTTTTTTTAAATTAATGTAAAAAAAATGGATTTTAAAACTTGTCTTAAGAAATTTTATGAAACTAAAAAAATAACTACTTTTCAAGGAGATAGTAGTTTAAGCACATTAAAGGGTGATTTTAAATTATTCTTTCGTTTGGACGGTAGCAATCAAATTAAAGTAACTCGTTCAAATAATACAGCACACGTTGTTTTTATTTATGATTATTATTTAAACGACAAACTAATAAAAGTTCAAAAAGAATTCGATATGCTATATGAAGACTTTGTTACTGCTATAAAAGATTCGGTATCAATATAGTTGTTAGAAGAAAAAGCATAAAAAGAAAAAGACGCTCTCGTAAAACCCGTAAAACTCGACGTATTCTACGCGCTCGTGGGTTAACAGATTATGTTACACCTCAAAATATTACCAACGCTTTAAAAGTGGGTTCAGTGTTATACAGATTAAGGAAAGCATGGAAATCTAAAAAATCAGTGCAGACCACACCTACAGTAGTACCCAAGTTTAACCCGTATATGCCGCCAGATAAAAGTTTCGAAGTATATTAAAAAAACATGTATTTTTTTGTATGCAAAAAATATTTAAATAAAAACATAATACAAATTAAATTGTTTATTTCTTGTTGATTCTTGGCGACTTTAAAAGTTTTTGTTTTGTTTTAATAATATTTTTTTGCTGGCGTTACAATGATTACATATATTTTTGCCAGTTTGAATAGGTATCATTATGTTTTTAGGTAAGTAACGTAGCCAAACTACATCGTTAATTACATTTGCTTTGCAATCTTGTAATGTGTTTGTAAACGTTGGATCTTTTATTGTAAATACGTAAAACTTGCCGAGTCCATTACACTTTTCGCATATTTCTTCGTACGTTTTTCCATTTATTGGACACAAAGCGAGTCGTTGCATTTTTTTTTTTTTCTGATTATAACAAATTCACCATGATACGGTTTTTTATTTGTTTTTGAGTCATGACATCATCAGATGGATTATTTATGAAATTTCTTAAATCTTTTAATCTTCTGTAATTTAGGGAGTAAATTTGGTCCGTTTCTTCTTTTTGTTTTAAATATGGGTTTTCTTCGTTCATAACATCTCGAATGGCAATAACGTCATGTATAGATAATTTGTCCCATTGACTTTCGAAATTGGTTCTTAATAACATGGCATCTTTTAAAAAATTTTTAATTTTGTTATTTGTATTAACTTGCTCTTCAAATATGTCATGTTCGATTGGAATTTAATTTGTTAAACAATAGATTACGTTCCAGTCTTTCGTTTTCTCTTAAATAGAGGTGTAGTTTCATATCTTTTTCAAAGAATAGTTTAGCTGTAGAGTCCAAGTGTGTAAACAATTTGTCTTTAATAAGTTAAAGTTAAAAAATGGCAAAAGATTTATCTGAGCTAATTCAGAAGCATGAACTGTCAAAACATCAAAAAAATGATAATTTAGCAGTCTGCACTTGTCCGCTGTATATGTAATCTTTTTCGCTAAATAAGAGCAAAATAAAATAAGCTGCAAAAGCGCCACATAAACTACTGTTGTTCCATTAAAAACATGTTTTGTTATAAAAAAACAAAATGTTTTGTTCTCCTGTCATAGAACTGTATTTGAAAATAAATTTGGTAAACCAATAAAATTCGTGATTGTCAGCTGTCCATTCGTATGGGAAATGATGAGTTTGTCTTATGTAAGAACTAGTTTCAATTCGTTATAGTTAATGTTGATAGTGCTAATTTGTACGTTAGTTTTAACTTCTTCTACAGCTTCAAATAAATGTCTGTTGTATCTTAAAAAACTAGGTATTAGTTGAAGACAACTTTCAGTACCCAAACTGTCAAAACAAAAAAAATGATTAGAGTCCACTTTAAGTAAAAGTCTCCAATGTTCACCTTTTTCTTTAGTAGTTTCGTTGTTATATACAAAAAAGGAACCATTTTTTGTCATGTTACGAATAATGTGAAGGTGAGTGCGTGCTTGACTTAATTCGTCATAAGCGTATACGCCTATAAAATAATCTTTAAAAAGGGGTTCGCTATTAAAATAACGCGACAATGATTCGTTAGTGCACATTTTATTCTACTTTTTCTAAACTAAAAAAACTTGAAATAAATAATGTTACAATAGCGTGTAATACGTTAATAAGTAATGTTTTTTTATTAGAAGTTCCTTATTTTATGATTCCTTCAATGTTTCTTTTAACAGATTTTTTTTTAAAGCACCATCTAGTTTATTTATGATAGTAGAAGCGGTAGGTATTATTTTGTCTACAAAAGTATCTACAAAACCATCTGTTTGATCTCCTTCAAATGGAACCTTTTCTTTAACGTCTCTTTCGAGCAGCAAAACTTTGAGTTTGGATTTGTAGTATTCAGCTACAACGTTTTCGTTTACGTGTTCTTTTTTTAATTTGTTAAAATGATCCAAATGATATTCACACAATTGAGGTTGTTCCAGTAAATTTTTAAATTGACTGTTTTTAAAACATTTTTCAATAGAATAAGAATTTAAGTTGATGCGTTTTGAACTTAAAATGTATTCAAGAAAAGCGTTTGAACTTTTGTCTGTATAATGTTCTTCTTCATTAGTAAGAGAAGACGGTGAAGAGTTGCCAGATTTATTTTCATGACTCTTGTACTTTTTGGCTACTTCGTCTAATGCGCAAACAGCGCAATTGTTGTGAATTTTTTTAATGATGCTGTCAACACAATTCATTTTTTTATAAAAAAAAAGTTTTTTTTATATATAAATTTTTTTTTTGATTTTTATACATGTTTATAAAATTTAAAAAAAAGATTCGTTTCATTTTTAATAGAAAATCTTGTTATTTTTTTTTTAGATTTGGCTGTTTGATACTGAATATATTCATAATGAGTTTGATAAAGATCATCCTTGGGGAAAGAACTGTTTACGTGAAATATGTTTAAGAGCATTAAATGATGATTTTTATGTTCACCCGCAGGTGTGGCCGTGCGTTACTTATGAAAGATTATCTGCAAAACATCAAAAAGCTTTTAATTTTTGTCATAAATATGTACATGGATTGACTTATGATCCCAGTTTAATGTGCAACTCTGATAGTATTTTTTGTACAAACGTGTGCGATTATTTGAAGGCATATCTAGAAAAGTATCCAACAAACTTAGTTTTCTATAAAAGCAGTATCATGGAGCCTTCAATTTTAAAATGTTTTAAAAATGTTTATTGTTTTGATCTTAACGAACTGAACTTTCCAAAAATTCAAAATCTAAATTACTTTTACGCCGAATCACTATGCAACGCACATTTTGTTGATGATCTTTTTACTAGACAACATTTAGAACATTGTTGTAAGTATGAAACTAAAATGTGGTATAATTATTTGATCGATTTCATATATTATATTAGAGGAAACACTGCGAAAGGAGAACAGTATAAAGAATCGGTCAATTTAATACGTGATAACAATCGCTGCGAGGAAGTAAATAAGAAAAAAGTCAGTGTTTTGACA